TGTCTTTCTCTTTACTGGATCCCATACCCTGTAGCCAAATTCCTCATCACCATATCCTACAAACACACACTGTGTAGCTTTACTATCAAGCTTTGACCTCTGCTCTTTTGGTACATGCATGAATGCTTTACACCCAAAAATTTTCAAGTGAGAGTATGAAGCATCTTTTCCTGTCCACACTCTTTCTGGAATGTCAAAGCCCAAAGGAACTGATGGTGACCTGTTAAGTAAATAACAAGCTGTGTTGACTGCTTCACCCCAGAATGGCTTTGGTAATTTTGCCATCCTCAACATACATCTGACTTTTTCCACAATGGTGCGATTCATTCTTTCAGCTATACCATTATGCTGCGGTGTTCCAGGTTCTGTCCTCTCATGCCTGATCCCATGCTTTGAGCAATACTCTTCAAAGCTTTTAGATGTGTATTCCCCACCATTATCAGTTCGAATACACTTCAAGGGTAACCCTGTCATCCTTTCAACCATGGCATGAAATTTTTGAAAATACTGCAGTACCTGACTTTTATATTTCAACATATACACCCAAGTCTTACGTGAAGCATCATCAATAAAAGTAACAAAATATCTGCTACCACCTAATGACTCAACCTCAATGGGACCACATACGTCAGAATAAATTAATTCCAATCTATTTTCTTTTCTCTGAGAACTTTTACGAAAAGAAACTCTATGATGCTTACCAAACAAACAATAATCACATGAATCGAGAGACATACCTTTGGTCAAGGGAATGAGAGAGTGCCTTGCCAAAACCTGTAACCCTTTTTCACTCATGTGTGCCAGCCTCCTGTGCCACAAGTTTGCTGAAGCATCATTTTCAACGGTATTTACCTGGTTACCGTTCAATTGCATCCATGTCTTATACATTGTGCAGCATAGTTTTCCCCTTGCAACTACCATAGATCCTTTGAGAAGCTTCCACTGTCCATTCTTTTGTCGGCTTTCATATCCCTCCTTATCAAGGACATTAATAGCAAGCAAGTTCATTCTCATATCTGGAATGTGTCTGACATCCCTTAAAGTCAACATGCAGCCTGTACTAGTTTGTACACCAATATCACCAATCCCAACAATCTGCGACACACTCTTGTTTCCCATCTTGGTACAACCAAAGTCTCCTGCTTTGTAAGTTGTAAACAACTCTCTCTTAGGAACACAATGATATGCCGCTCCTGTGTCAACTATCCACTCAATGCCGGGATCACTAACATGATTACAATCACCATGTGTACAAATCAAAGTAACTGAATCACTATCTGAATTCACTGCTGCAACATTGCCATCATCTGAACTCTTGCCTTTCTCATCTTTTCGCTCTTGCTTCAAGATTCTACAATTTCGTTTTATATGACCAGCCTTACCACAATGGAAACACTTCACTTTACCTCTAAACTTAGATTTATGTTTAGACTTACAAGTTGCAATCTTTTTAACAAGCATAACTTTATTCATACCTGTTTTTCTCTCATACAATGCTGCCAATTTTTCCCAAACAATGTGAGCATCGATTCCTGCGCTACATGATGGAACACGCTGATATCAACCCATTTTCTGATTGTAGCCAGCGTCTTTCTACCTAGCTTCTTCCAGCTTTCATCTTTCATATCTGCTGGTTTAGCCGAATCACCCAATACTGGCTCATACAAATCTTTGCAGTATAGATGATCCTCCATCATAGGCTTCCAAATTGAATAATTTGATGCTGTCAATTTTATCATGGAACCTGTATCACCCTCCATGATCTCAAACAGAATTTACTTCTATCCTGGGTTGCTTCTGTATCGATGTCTCAAAATAACCCTCGCTCTGATACCACTTGTTGCGCCTGAAGCAATAATCACAACAATACAGAAGCAATAGACAACAATCAATAATCAAATGCGCAGGAAAAATAAAGCACACCAAGATTTACGTGGAAAACCCTCCAGTGTAGAGGGAAAAACCACGGGCCACCAGAAAAATCTTCACTATCAAATAATAGTTATACAAAGTTCTTCTCTAGCTAAAACTAGAGCTAATCAACAACTAGAGAAACAATTGGAGAAATCTCACCAAATAAGTGACTCAACAAATACACCATGGATTTATTCCTAGAGAGCTTCAAACCCGATCTTCACCGTTCAGAATGTATAACTCTGAATCATAAACCTCCTGACAAGGTTCCAACTCAATCGGACCACGGATCGACTTCCGTTTAACCAACTCTCCCTTCTCTTTTTTCTCTCTCTGCTTTTCCTGGCTTTTCTTCTTTCTTTGCTTGGTTGTCGACACACACATAAAACAACCCCACCTCTTTTTTATTAAGTAGCTAGGGCTCTGTGTAAAATAAAAGATCAAGGCCCATGGCCTTTACTTGGTCCAAAACCACTTACATGGGACTGGACCCCATTTTCCTAACAGGTTAATCTTTCCTTCTCCCTTGATTGGTTGAAATGCATTTTTTCAAATATAACAAAATAATCTTCCAAGGAAAACAGCGGAAATGTCAAGTTTCACGTGTTAATAAATAAAGGAAAAATATTTAATACACCGCAGATGGAGATTAAAGTTAAGGGTTGGTACATACCTTTAGGATATATTTAAATAAGCAAAAGCTTATTTATCAACCCAAGATTAAAGTTAGAGGGTTGATAAATACCTTTAGGATATCTTTAAATAAGCAAAAGCTTCACTGTATGAACCATTTTCTGGTAGAAAAAAATAAGATGCTGAACTTTACATTGGTCCCCTGATGTTTGATCATTGATTGCTGAGCAAAAAATGCAAAATAAGTCATCTTTAGACCAAGTTATGGAACTTGAAAGCTCATTCCACTACACAAACCAGCAAAAAGTTCCAAACATGTTGCAGCATCGGCTTACATCAACTAGAAAGATGCTAAATGCTCTCAAGTGGTTCAGCCATGATGAGAGTGAATTCAAGGGGGATACACATTGTAATGAACTGCACTATGATGTACAATTTCCAGCCTTTTCTTTAGGGAACACTTTTGACCTAGACAATAACCAACAGCCTGCGCTCACTTATACAAATCTAACCCAACAACAGACAGAAAAGCTAAACCAAGTATCGATATAGGAACAACAAATTGTTCAGAAAAAAATTTAAACTTTTTACAGTTAGCTCTGGGTAAGGTAAGAACAAATTTAAGCCTGTGAAGCAGAACTGATTAAGTCAAGGGAGTCATAAATTTCAGGGACCTCAATAGCACTAGAGAGTTTAAATGAAGTTACCAAAGATGTAAAACTGTTGTCAATTACTTTATATAGGTAACAAGCTCATCATACATTTAGGCTAAGTTGCTGATTTTAAAATTTCAAGGGATCCAATTACTCTTGGGTCTATATCCCTTTAGTCAATTATAACTAGTTTCCTGTCATGAATTGTTAATGCACAGATGTATGAAATTATGAAGAGACTATTCTGCCTTTCACACTTTTACCCCAAATTGAAAATATGTGATAATTCCAATGCCATGACCCTCAAGGACTTGGTTCAACAGCCTCGCCGGCTTCTTGCAAGGTACCAATGAGTGATCAGAGCTCTAATCTAATTAAAATCCTAGTAACAACAGAGAAAGAATCGTAGATAAATGCTAGCATTAGCAATTAGTATTGGCAATGACAAACTAGAGTAATGAGTCTCAACTGAAAAATGAATTTGTTGCAGCAGTCATTCTTCAAAACCAAAAACAGCCAAAAGGAAATTATTTCTGTAAATACATAATCAAAGCCCAATGGCTCACCTGATCAAGATTGAAGGAGGCCTGTTTGTGTGTGAACCATTGTGGGGCAGGGAAAGTAGATATCAGATGATGGGTTGGTCCAACTAGCTAAAATCCAGAAGCCTAAAGTATGGGTCTTCAAGCATATGCCATGACCCGATTGTACGCAAATATTTCAAATCTATCACTACTCTCATCACAATAACAAAGAGCATGTACATCATTGAACTCAATTCCTTAGACTACAATATGGTTGCACAATTGCCCAAACCAACTTAAAAGTCGCTTCTAAGTAGCAAAGCTTTACTAAAAGCAATGTTACCATTAGGACATACATGATCAAGTTAATTTGATCTACAAAAACTCAAACTTTCCCGTCAGGATGATCAAAGACTAATTTGATTCATTTACCAGCAATGAAAATCACATACATCTAACCAAACAGGACCAGAATGCATCACTTAAAATCCACAACAGGCAAGCAGAAAATTCTGCAAAAAAAAGGTATATGTAGACTACAAGGAGAAACATGCCTATTACATCCCAGAAGAACATCATAACATGATAACTGCAAATCTTAGGACTGACAGATTAAGTAAAGATCAACAAGGATGTTACATTATACTAATAATTTGATTTTCCATTATTTGTACAAGTGTAACGTTATGAAGAGACTACTCTGTCCTTTTCATATTTTTATCCAATTCCAAAGTAAAATTTTTCCTAGTGACATTTGATGAAGACCTTTATAGCATAACCGATCAACCAAATATGGTTTTACTCAATTTTTTTATTGAGCCGGATTGGTAGGTTTTGCCTAATATATATTATATATATATATATATTGAGTTTATTTAAATAAGTTTATTTATATAAGACTTAATAAATTCATAAAAAAAATTTTTAATAATTTTTCATCCAATTCAAATTCAAGACAAAAAAAAAAAAGCTTACTATTTGAAACAAAATCAATTCCAATTGATAGTATAATTTTACTTTATTAATGATAAGAAAGATAACAAAATTAAATTATAATCTATAATCAATGAATTCTTTCTTTAGACACTATTTTTTAAAAAAGATTTTAAAAAATTTTATCATATTATATTTGTATTTATTTATAAAAGAATAAACAACATAATGAAATAAAATTTTACTTAGAAACCACAAAAATAAAAATGCAATATCATGTACCTCACCACAGATGATCGAAATTTTCATTTCTTGCCCCTCAAGTAAAATCTACCCTATTTAAACACCCATCAAACATTTTCATCTTGAGACTCACATGCTCTCAACAGTAAACCCTAGAAAGGAAAAACAAAAAGAAACACTAGAGGCCTTAACCAATATGGCGTCCAATACCAGCGTGCTTCTTGGTCCACCAGCGCTTCACTCCGATATCGATCCCATGGTGGGCTCCGTCCAATTAGGCGTTGCCAACCTTCAACTCGACGCTGTCAAACCGACCATGCCCCAATTAGGGTTCCCCAAAAACGAGTTCTTCATGGACTCAAACACTGGCAATCCTTGCCTGGACTTGTTCTTCTTTGCCTTGCCTTCCACGCCAACTCATGCCCTTGTTAACTGGCTTGCAAAGGCATGGTCTTATGACCCTTTAACCACTTTGAAGCTTGTTTGCAATCTGAGAGGCGTCCGTGGCACTGGAAAGTCTGATAAAGAAAGCTTTTATAAATCTGCATTATGGTTACACAAAAACCATCCCAAAACCCTGGCATGCAATGTCAGGGTTTTTGCAGAGATCGGATGCTACAAGGACTTGATGGAGATTCTTTATAGGCTTTTGGAAGGAGAGTAGGTGAGGGAAATCGCGAAGCAAGAGTGGCAAACCAGGAAGGAAAAGAAAGGCAAATGGCTGAATCGAAAGATGTGTAAATCCAAGCGTAAGCCACAGTTGCCAAGGGATGTTACAGTTTCCCAGAAGACAAAGATTGCAAGGTCGAATAAGGAGAATGCGAGGAGTATAAGGAAGCAGAGAGAGCTGAACAAGGCAAAAAAGGCCTACGAAAGGTATTGTAGCGATCCGATGTATAAGTTCTTGCATGATTGTGTAGCCGATATGTTTGCAGAAGATTTAAAGAAAGATATAAAGTTTTTGAATTCTGGTGAGGTTAGGAAAATTAGTCTGGCGTCTAAATGGTGTCCTTCTATTGATTCGGCTTATGATAAGGCTACTTTAATATGTGAAAGTATTGCTAGGAGGATGTTTCCAAGGGAATCTGACCCTGATTATCAGGGAATAGAGGAGGCTCATTATGCATTTAGAGTGAGAGATAGGTTGAGAAAGCAATTTCTTGTCCCTTTGCATAAGGATCTTGAATTGCCAGAGTTATATATGAGTTCAAAGCAGTGGGATGCTCTGCCTTATAACAGGGTGCCTTCTATTGCCATGAAAAATTACAAGAACCATTTCTTGTGGCATGACAACCAAAGATTTAGTGGGTATATTGAGGATGCGAGGAAAGAAGATGAAACAATTGGTGCTGGTGCATTACTTCCCCATGACATCATTGCTTCTTTGAAGGATGCAGGTTAGGTTGCTGAGTTGCAATGGAGGAGAATGGTGGAGGATCTTAAAAAGAAGGGAGAATTGAATAACTGCATTGCTGTATGTGATGTCTCTGATAGCATGCATGGGACTCCAATGGAGGTTTGTGTTGCTCTAGGGCTATTGATTTCGGAACTCAGTGAAGAGCCATGGAAGGGGAAGGTGTTTATGTCACGGACCTAAGGAGGAGTCCTGACCCATATCAAATATAAAAGGACGGTCACTGAAGTTTAAAAGGGTTCACACAATTTCTTCCTTGTGAGGCACTTTGTGTAGGACAAAATTGTGAGGCCAGGGGAGCCAGAGCCGACAATAACTCACAAGAGTGTGAACCATGGCAGGTAAGTTGATCTGGGACGCCGGATGAGTGAATGCTCGAGTTCTAGAGCCACGCAGGTTTGGAGCTTAAGTCTCGACCCGTGACACTTAAATTTGGCTCAAAACCAGAGCTTCATTTGATCCAAGGGGATAGCCTTCTATCAAAGACCCAATTTTTAAGGAAGAAGGATAGAGGTGCAAATGTTGATTTTGAGAAAGTGTTTGATAAAATTTTGCAGGTTGCTATTGATGGGGAAGTTGAAGGAGGATCAGATGATAAAGAGAGGATTTTTGTTTTCAGTGGTATGGAATTTGATGAAGCATCTAGGCAGAATTATGATCATCCAATAAGAAACATGTCCAATGACTCAAATGGACAGTGTTCTGGTTATTACAATGGTTCTTTATATTGGGATAGTAGTCTTGAAGAAGATTATATGCTTGAGGATGTTGAGGATGACTGGTATGCTATGTGTGAGCGTGAGATAAAGCAGAAGAAGTTGGGAGAGAAACAGCAAAAATTCACAGCAAAATCATGGAAATCCATGTATGGAGGTATAAAGAAGAAATTTCAAGAGAAGGTTTTCAACATGCCCGAAATTGTGTTTTGGAACCTTAACAACTCTCCTGATATGCCAGTGCCTTCCAATCAGGGTGGAGTGGCACTAGTTGTGGATTGTCAAAGAATTTGGTGGAGTTGTTCTTAGATAATTGAGGGATTATTAACCCTGTTACTGTGATGGAACAAGCCATCTCTGGAGAGCTATATCAGAAACTCTTTGTGTATGATTGATTTGTAATCAGAATGAGTATGACCAATGTGTATCTCCAGTGTATATTGAATGTATCAATAACAGTTTCATCTTCCAAATTTTCCCTTTCAATGATCTGCCTAAAGTTGGTGATAAGAGGTATTGTTATTCTACAGCATTTAGTCCCTCATCAGTGACTTTAGTAACTGGGTTAGTTTTTCTTTTTTACTGATGGCATCATAATTTTTTTTTTAATGTCCGAACTCCTAATATCATTTGAACAGGCTACTATCTGATAAATGACTTGGCATATTCATGAGATTGAGTGCGGAAGGTTTCAAGGCTATATCTTGAGACGGTAATACCCAGCTTAAACCTTCAACTACTGTGGCTTCCAACAGATGACAGACAAGTGCAACAAGGAAAAACCAAAACTCTTGACCTGTCAGGAAAGAAGGCTACTAGAGCGTAATTTAATTTTCCTGGAGATATAAGATGAAAAAGCCCTTCAGTGCTTAATTTTCTTTGATGTTTTCTACATTAGGACTTCAACACTAGTCAATTCTAGATGGTAGTGTCCATCCCTTTTAGCTAATGATGCTTGATGATCAATTTGAGTTCATATGGATTGAGAAAAAAATTTTCTTTATCATATTGATCAGCTTCTTTTCTCAGCTCTAATGCATTATTATCTCATCAATAAACATTAAAGATCATCCTATCTGTCAGTATCTTTGTTCTCCATAATCTGTCATCAGTTAACACTTAACAAATAGATATGTTTCCTTCCATATATCAACCACAAACTTAGGGCTAATCCATGAGCAAAATGGCAGTCAGAACTCCGGATAGGACTGTTGGGGAGGGATAACTAAGTTTCACATCACAAGATCTTATTATTTGTGGTTTATCTGCCAAAGCTATTTGATAAAGCCTGTTCAGATTGATGGATTTCGAGTTGATAAACCATCCTGCTCTTTTCTTCCCTCATTTTAACCCGTGCTTTTTTTCTTTTTTGGTTTCGGATGCATCAATTGGCAAGAAGGGAGCACTATTTTCACAGATTATTGTTATAAGCTAGAATACAAAGACTCCAACTAGTCCTTCAGTAATTGGTAATAATGGTTAGATGCTGTCAACCATGATTTTGTTTAGCCAAGGTTAACGTAAGAACAGGTGAAATTCTAACCATGTTTATGCGAACAGATGGATTGTTCATTGTGCAGTGAGACATGGAACGTGAAATTCTAGTTATCCCTTAAAGCTGAAAATTGCCCCCAAAGGATTGTTCTTCATGAGTTTTGCAAGTTCCATTGCCTGCTATTGATCTGGCTGAGCATCAGGTATTAATTATGAATCATTTTTCAATGAAGGGATTCAAATGGTAGGTTAGGTGAAATTGTTATAATATTGCTGTTGCTTTGTGATTCGAGGAAGTCTGCGGGAACCGGATCGAGATGTGTCATTTGCTAAAAGTAGATGTGCTGATATTATAGATAACAAAAAAAATGAGTTTTTTTATGAATTATGATACGATAAATTTTATATTTTATATGAATTAAATATTTTATGAATATATAAATTGTTAAATTTATTGATAGGTACATATACTATAATTTATCTTAAGAATGTTTGGGGTTTTTGTATTAATCAGTTATGGCTTGTCCACAAATTATTTTTCTATTATTAATCTTGTTATTGATGCCCTGTGGCTATGTTGTGAAGTTATATTTTTGGCTCCATGGTATCTAGCAGGCGAGTTGATACCTCGGATTGAGATTTAAGATGCTGTGGCCGTAAGGTAAAAAATCTTTAGATTTGCGCTGGGCGAGCAAAGCCAAGACACTTATTGGGTTTAAGTACCTTATCAATGTTCTGACCCAAAACTTTTCCCAGCCGATTGCTATAAATTTGTGAGTTTCAGACTTCAAAATGTTAATTCTGTTTTCTGGAGATTGTATTATACCTAAAAGGAAATTCTTTGAGAAATTTAAGCTATATATTTTATTCATTCATTATCAGCCTTCATGCCATAAGCGAATTATAACAGCTAAGGGAAAATGTGGACTAGAGTTGGTTTTTCATTCTTTACGTGGTAACATGATTACTCAAAAAAAAAAATTATAAATTGAAGGTCAATTTTAGTACCATAAACTCAAATCGGGAGTACCCCGATTGACTGAAATCTGCATTTTATGACTAAACCGCTAACGTAGGCCTCAGGTCCTCTTACGACGCTCCCAAATGGAGCCTAAGACAATCAATTTCTTATAGCATTGCCAAGTTAATAAACTAAAAGATTCAGATTTCAAACAAGTACCATCAGTCTCCAGCAAATTCAAATCTTCACTTTTTTTTTTTGGTATGTTGGGTTTTATTCCTTATCCTAGTTCATTCAGATCATTGAGTCTGAATAAAAATGCAATTTGGCGCTCTTGACAGATAGTCTGCATGGACGTAGATGCAGTCTGCTTGTTGCAAAACCAATGGATTAGTCCTTTCGAATGCACTTGAGATCATGACGAGATAGCTACATTACCAAAAC